TGGTCTCTTCTCCCAAGTAATTAGCAATAGGGCGAATGGAAATGGCCTTAAGTTGCACCACGGAAGGTTTAGATTAGATATTAGGAAAAATTTCTTTACTGAGAGAGTGGTCAAACATTGAAACAGGCTGCCCAGGGAGGTGATGGAGTCACCATCACTGGAAGTGTTCAAAAAATGTGTAGACATGGCTCTTCAGGCCATGGTTTAGTCAGCATGGTTATGTCGGGTTGATGGTGGGACTTGATGATCTTAAAGGTCTTTTCCAACCTTAATGATTCTGTGATACTTGTAACCAGAAAAGTATTATGGGACACATTTACAAAAGTTATCTTAAATTAGTGAGGCTAAGTTCTTCAGGTTCCTCTACAGCAGAACTTGGAAGAGAAGCTTACGTTAGCTGTTCAGAGTCACCTCCTAAAGCAATCTCATGCTCGGCTAGAATATGAGCCTTGGGTAAACAGCCCCAGTACAGTAAGCCAGACACTGCAATTTCTCCTTCCATGACTGATCTTCACTGCAGAATTAACTCATGTTATTTATGTACTAAGAGAACCTCCAGCCTGCAAAGTTAACATCTGAGTTGCTATGTCCAGAAGTAATTATATATCCCGTGTTTCTTTCAACAGCAATAGCCTATGCTGTTGTTTTAAAAAATAAATGCCAGAGAATAAATTTTCTCCCCGCACATCAAGAAGTACACTGTGGGAAGGCAGGACTTTATGCAGCACTATAGCTATGAGCATCTCACAAACTTCAAGTTTAGCTTTAGCTTATACTTTGCTCTTCTCAGGCCAGACAGAGTATCACCGCACCTAACACAGAAATTTCCTGTCTATGGTTAAGACCAATGACAGCAGCAACATCAGTTATAATTCATCTGGCTCTACATGGAAGACAAACTTGTATAATTCCATCATTGTTCATGAGCATCCCCAGCTGATAAACCTGTAGCAGGTGAGGAAAAAGACCTTACTTGAACATGATCATCTTCAATAACTGGGTCACTTGTACTTGTGGACTTGTCAGCTGTCCTTTTCCGCTTTGTGGTTTGCCGTGGCTTTGGCTTGGCCACCTCTGGAAACAGAAAACCAGAAAAATCTTTCCTCTGTTTACATTTCAGAACAATAGAGGCATTCCCTAGCTGAAAACGTCCAATAAGAACATGTATTTCTTATATAAGATCAAAATACCTGTCTGGCTTGAAAACAACTGTATCTCTTTTCCTTGCACAAAAACCACTTTCAGGTTTGTTGCTCAGAATCATTCATACTAAATGACTTGGGGTAGGGGGGTGGGATGAAAACACAGGAATGCTGAACCTACAAGTTCAACATCACAGAAAGATGCAGAGCCAAAAAAAGAACAGAAGATGAATTGTTAGGTTACACTTGGTTCTTTGAAGCAAACAGAACATTCTTGATAAATACAAGAACCAAAATAGCTTTAATGTTTTAAATAGTAGAAATAATCTCAAACTACTTCAAAGTCTGCTCTTTATAACTGTCAGTAAGTTTTTCCTAATATTGCATAGGATGCCCAGGAATAAAATACTTTGAGATTCCTAAGCTGCTTCTTACTCCACTTCATGCACAGGCATCAAATTCCTCCTTGATTTAAAATATGAACCTTTGAAAAGAAATGATGATAGATGACCACCCTTACGTCCTATAGTAAGAGAAAAAAAATGCCCTAGAATTAATTTTCTGTGATTAACAGATCAAACCCAGAAACTATTTCACTAAAATTAAGCTTCCTTTGACTTTTTTGTTAATACATATGGCATGCTCACGAAGATTCACAATCAAGATAGAAGTGCAAAATATTAAAGACTATGTATGAACTCCTCCACACTATACTACCATTAACATTAAAAAATATCTCTTTTCCTACTTAACATCATCAAATTCCACCAACAGAAATAAACTATTAATTAACATGTGACATGCAGTGGGCCTATGAGCTCCAGAATTCAGGTGACTGCATTAGGGGATCCACAGGTTGAAAGACGTAGTATCAAGTACTCAACTTGTGGCACCGGTGAATCATCATCCCCAGGGAATTTTTCGACAGTTCCTAGAGTATCTACGGATTGTGAAATACTTTCTAGCTACATTATAGGAAAAACTTTCAAATTTTGTGTTGAATTGTTCGAGCCCAAGGCCAAGAAAGCTTTACAGAAGGTTTAACATAACATGCATTTTAAAATGTGAAAAACTTGCTTCACTACAAATGCAAACTAAAATAAGTTAAAAAAAATCCATTTATTACAAGAAAAAAACGTCTTACATTTTTACTAAAGTAAAAATCAAAATGACTCTTGATTCATCCTTTAGACAGCTAGTCTGTGGTGATAACGTTTTTAAAATTTCACTGTCTTTAATATTTGACTTGTTCCACTGTTTAATATGGGTAAATGATTTAAGGGGGGGAAAAAACCTACTTCTACTATCAAACATAGGTTTGTTATAGAAGCTGAAAACCACAATGTCATTTATGCCAGAACAGAAAGCAGTCATATTCAAGGCACATTTTTAGATCGTTTATGGAAAAACATTTCCAACTCTGTAACAGAAGTATTTGCAGGTTATACTCTAATGTTGTACATCCTGTTTTAGTGAAGAAAAACACTGTAACAGCCAGGCAGAAGAGACCTCACCTGTCTATGTTTCAAATACAGATTTAAAAGATAGAAATGACGCATCATCTCATACTCTGCCTCAAGCATCAGCTAATGTCTGAAGCTTCAAAGGAGAAAATAAGTGCATAAAGACATACACCTAATGTATGATGCTAGGAAAACAGTTCTGACTTGTGTAGGCTAAATATAGGAAATACTGAGACATTTTCCTCCACGAGCAGAATAGATTTTTTTCCTGACTAACAACTGAAACATGAAAACAGAAATACTTTCAAGAAAGATACCCTAATTTAATATTTAGATCTGACTGACTTCACTTTATGTTTTGGTAATGGATGAGGATAGAGAAGAAATATTTTCTTTTGATTTTTCCAGACTAATTACTAGTCATAATGGAGCAAGTTAGAGAACAGGCATTTTAAATGTAATAGCAAGGTCATTTCTTCAATCTGAGATGCATTTAGCTACAGAACAATATGCTAGGTGATTTAGGTTTCATTAACACTTGGGAACACTAACATAAACTGGAAAGACACTAGGACATACTGTGTTTGAATCATTCCATGTTAACATGCTATCAGTCTTTTCTACCTCCAACACGTACAGTTCTGTAACTAGCATGTTTCATTTTTCAGTTTCATTTTACTTGCCAGATATTCTCAGCAAAGAATTCTGGATATATGAGGTAATTATTAAGTGTGCTATGCCATATTAAGATGATTATTTTTGAAAGCAAGTATATTTGGAAGAAACAGCAAGTTCCCCTCTCACATCTGTTCTTTCCTCCCAACATTTTGGGCTTAATTTCAACCCTTCAGTACTTTGTTTTTATTTTATGGTTTTGTTCGTTTTACATGATGTAAAGCATAAACCTATTTAATAAAAATACAATTTTCAACAAGTTTGATCACCATGCCATATACACTTGGAAATAGAATCCAATATGCAGGTGCACAAGCTTGGCTCAATTATAATTATGGTTTTCTTTATTGGTTGATAAAGTATCAGTTATTAACTTTTGCCTTCTTGCTAAGATCTGAGCATACCTGCTGTCTTCTTCCTTTTAAAGGGAGAATTTTAATGGGGGAGACAGTCTTACGTTTCAATGAATAACAGCCTTCACAGGAAGAGAGAAGCTGTCAAAAGAAGTTGCATTTGGTTTTCAAATGAGTAAATCAAACATGTTTAGTATGTACGGATAACACATACAGAAATACTTGCATGGAGAAAACGTCACTGGCACTCTTTCAGAGAAATCTGTTATTTTACCTAGTTATGGCACTGAAGTCAGCCGTTTCTGTTCCATCAATATTCCATCCCTTTAACAAACCATTTAGTTTTAAATTATTAAGCAATAAACTTCACTTTTAACTTCAGTATCATCTGAGGATGTTGCTGTTGTTCAATATTGTCTCATGCCAGCCCAGCAGTTTACTCAGAAATTAACATATGCATATAGGTCATACCTGACTCAGACACCAAAGGGACATGCGACAGCTTGCTTCTAGCTCTTGTTAGTGGTCGGCGAGGATACTCTTCTTTATACTCCATCTCACAGCCCCTTCGTTGGGAGCCCATGCTCTCCTCCTCACTGGCAGGCCCACAGGCACTCCCACTAGTCCTCTCATCACTTGTCTCTCCTGGAGGCCCACAGTTTGGCAGAGTCCTAAGTGCAAAATCTGACCCAGCACTATTTGGTCCATTCCTGCAGGTTCCACTCGTGGATGGGGATTCCCCATCACAACACGCACTAGTCCTCTCTTGCACATCCTGTGGCTTATAGCAGGAACACCTGGAACAAACAGAGCTCTCCTCAGTCTCTCTCTCGCTGGAATCTTCACTTTTACAAGGCAAGCAGACACACTGCCTGGATTCATCTCCAATGGCTGGACTGGTGCCAGCAGAGTGGCTACTAGCTGTCTGTGCACAGTCAGGGCTAGGAGAAACAGCACTGCAGGAGCTGGATGTTCCCGTTGATCCTGTAGCATTATTGCAACCTGGGTAAGAATCTTTGCTTTTGTTCCTTTCAGGCATGTCACTTGCTGCTTTCATGTCTGCTTTAATCTGCTCACTTGTTACTTGACAACCTTTCTCACAGCTGCTTTCCTCGGTATGGAACTGCTTTGTTTGGCCCACTTGGTTGGCACTACATCTCTTCCGCAGCGGTGTCTTGCCTTTACCACTCACTGTAAGAGTTAAGCAAGAGAGAACAATGAGACAACCTAATACACAGTTTAAATAAATGCTGAGTGCTCTTCTCTTAGAGACTATTTAAAACAGAAGGCAGTCTAAAGGCCAATGACAAATCTTGTCAGGACCATGCTGCTACTCATGTTATGGGAATTAATAATATTTCTAGCAGTTGCTGAATCTCTGTAATGTCTTGCAGCTATTTTTGTCATGACATGCTGGGATGTTTGTCAGTAAATGAGATACATATTTGCCAGAAAGGCTAGTGTTTTCACAAAGCAGCTAACTGGTTAAAAAGGCCAAAGCACAAAAATACAGGCTTCCGTTTTCTTAAATATGAGGAATAAATCTGAGGAATTAAACAGTAACATAGATAGGACTAAACTTTATGATTTCAATAGGAATCCTTAGCTCCCCCTCCTGGGTATAGAAAGTGGTCTCAATAGGTAACAGTAGTCTCAGCATACAGATGAATAAAAAACCACAGTGAATATAGAGTACAAATCACAACTGGAACTTAATGTCTACTGTCTTAATCCTCTCAGCTAATTACACTAAACCAAGCCCGAAAAAACATTATTTGCACTACAAAAGTTTATGCAAATTGTCTCCAAACACAGGTTATTTCAATCCTCAAACCAGAACTGACATCTGTGCTATAAGCACAGCACCCTACAGATTTCCAAGTTTAAACTACCAGTCTTGCTGAAATGTACTAAAATGACAGGGGCTGATATGTAGGGAGGATGGTAGTTCCAGTGGGAAGATACTTGATCCATTACAGCCTTGATATGTCCTAGGCTCTGCAGAAATTAAACCAATACATTTCTCAGACCTTCACAATGCAGGATTTTTATGTTAACTGCTTAGCTAAATATTCATTAAGGCTTAATATTGTATGTACTTCGTCGTCAATTACTTACAGATCACAATTTGACTTTGACTTCCTTCTGTCTTGGATATATACGAAAACTACTTCGCTTACAATACAAACTACAGGAAATAGCATGTCATCTCTGTTGCTGGAAAGGGCATACGTCATATGGCACTGGACCCAGGACTCGTACTTAGTGCCACAGATGTGCAGCTTATAGCTGTAAACTCAAAACACAGGGAATGTCCTTTTCTATGTCTCTCTCTAGTTGTCATACTACCATGAAGTTCTGGGCCCCTGACTCTGAATGAGTCAGAATAATATATGTACTACTACTAGTACTAATACACATACACATACTATAAAAGTAAGTGCTGTTCAGAGTGAAGACAACATTACTGAACATGACCCTGAGAATTCTAACTAACCTCCAAAGCTCCCATCAAAGTAAAGTTGATCTTAAAGTGTCCCCTTCAGGACACTCCCACAGGGCCCCTATGAACCAGAAGATGGCTACCTGTTCTCATGCGTTTGCCCCAAGGGTCACATTTTGTCTCAGCAGCAATGCTTTGACAGATGAATCGTACAGACCACATAGTTGCAAATTTCGCCTCACAGTTACAAGAAATTTTGTGCACTTGGAAATCCAAAAGAGGAGCTCAAGTTTCTGCATGCAAAGCAGTGCAGCACCACTATTTCTGTGTTTCTGTACAGAAACGACGTGACTGGAGCTGAGAGAGATGTGTCCTTACATCTTCATTCTAGATTTATAACAGGAAGAAAAGGGTAGGGGGCAAACAAACAAGCATGCCTGTTACAAAGCTAGAAATAAAACTGAACAAGATGGAAAGATTGAAGTTTAAGAATAAATTTTGCTTAACAGTGCCCAGGAACCCATCTATTCCACACCTGATGGTTCTCTAGTTTCCACTGGATCTCTGCTTTTCTCTTCTCCATCTGAGTAATTCTGTGCAATGCTGTTAGAGACGCAGGCTCTTGAAGTCGCCACATTTTCTTCCTCATCCTCACTGTCTGAATCATGGACAGTAATAGGTGCTGCCTTTACAACAGGCTGAATTCCACTTGGTCCTGAAAACAGTAGAAGAATGCCAACAGCTCATGTAAAAATAAGCCAAGCACGGATTAAAGGGCTGAAGAACTTTTAGAACTGCTTGAAAAAATGCCAAGAGATGAATTTGATTCAATTTAGCTACCCATTCTGTGGCTCCCTTATTAAAAGCCAAATACAAGAAGAGCAAACACTGCATTTCACCATTAAAGCATTCTAGTTTTAGTTTAAAGCATTTCTAGTAAGGGGAAGAATGTAAAAAAAACCACAGGTTTTCTGTAATGTTTCTCTGCTTTAGAACAGCTTACAGGTTCTTCCACAATAGTACGAGTAACTGCACAACTATAAGCAGTCCCCGAAACCTCCACCACAAAGACAGAAACGTCAGCCAGAACATCTGCAATTATCCTTCTAAATCCCACCACTAGAATTGGGAAGGAGAAGCATGAATTACCAAGCTTCAGTATAAATGTGCTTTGTTAGTTATCTCTCTTGGCTACTAACTGAAGGCATTAGCCAATCATGATGACATATCTGCCTGTGAATAACACAAGAAATGAACATGAAGTTAAATAATCTTTTCAGGAGTTATCTTGAAAAAGTGAACAGATCCAGCATATGTGTATGTTACTTCACGCTGTTGGCATATTTAGTAGAAAATTATGTTATGCAGCAAATAGTGGCTCTAAAAGAAATCAAGACTGCCTTATGTCACTAATGTTGTCACTAATACAAACTAGATTAACACTGGAACAAGTTGTTCTGACTTGAAAAAAAAAGCAAAAAGGAATCCACATGCTGCAGTGAAAGAAATAAGGCCACTGACACCAACATAGGACCATGACAAGCTCATTCAGGCCTTCTAAGTCTTATTATACTGGGAACAAAAATAAGGGTTTAAGATCAAGATATTTTACTCCACATGCAAAAGAAAACTGGGAACTGTAAAACAGACTTTAAAACAGAATAAATTTCTTCACACCAGTAAGCTGTGCAAACATCAATATTCCAAACACAACAGACAACTCAGCTGAAGAAAACCATTCAAAAATAGAATTATACTGAAAAATTTAACCCCTCAAGAAGGGGATACCAAAAGGTAATTTCTTTCCAAAACCAGAGTTACCTGCTTGCTCTTCGTCGACCTCCATAGGAACAACAGCCTGGCTGTGAGCTGGCAGCTCATTCTGGCTCTGTCCAGCAGCCATCCCTTCTTCCTGTGCCACCTCCTCCATCTCATTCAGTGCTGAAAAGATTAATATGAGGTCAAGCGGAAACAGAAGAACAGAGCCCGTAAGCATAGGAGGAATTCAACTGGCACTCACAGAGAGTCAGAGAATCCTCAAGAAATAAGTAATAGCTGCCTTAATTCCTTCAGTGAGTCTCTAGGTTGCACAGTCTCTCACAGATCTGTTCTACATTTCCTTATCCAAGGCCCCAGGCTAACTTTTTGGGTTTACTTCTCCCAAGTTTTCCACTCCTCCAAAGTCTTGTTCTACTGCAGTGAGCAGCATAACCAGGATTTACAATTTGTTCCCTCTATGACTTCTGCCTTTGCTGGGAAAGTTTAAAAATGTACCCTCTGACACTATGATGTACTCCCAGGTCTAGCCAGAGGAGTCTAGAAAACACTTCACACTGCCACAGATGGGTATCACACTGAAACTCTACATTGCTAACATCTGTACTGACATAAAACATTGAATTGTAATGTGACTCTCACAGCTATTAGATACAATACAAAGCTAGCTTTTATCACACAGGTATCAAAGATGTGCAGACAGCTCTCAGAAAAGATTAAAGCTACATACCAGGAACCGTAAGAGCACCAAGCTTTCAATGTATATGAATATCTTCTCTAGGACCCTACGTAAGTGGCAAAGCAAAATCACTCTCTACAAAGGTTCACAAAGATCAGAGATTACCCTCAGCTGCAATCTGCTGCTCTTCAGCTTGACCATCTTGCCGCAGCTCATTCTCCTCATTCTGGTCATTTGGGTGTTGGTGATTGTTGTGGTGGATGTTTGGATTATTGTTATTCTGGTGGTTATTGTTGTTGTCATTGTCATTGTTAGAGTTCTGATTGCTAACTAGGGCAGATGAGACACCAATTCCTGTGCCTGCACTTAGGCCCACACGAGCACAACCCTGAGAACAAAGAGCAACTATTAAGATTTGAAAACATGGACACATTATCTCAACAACATATCCTAATGCAAACAGAAAAAGCATTCTGTCAGCAGTATCAAGGATAGCAGAACAATATGCATGTGAAGAATAGAGACATTGTCCCTAATGCTTCCTTATGCTACACACTGCAGAGTTACATCTTAAGTCTGGAAACCCAGAAAACTTACACTCTGTTAAATTCCTAATGAAATGGAACTCCACAAAGCATATAATCTTACTTTATTAAATTGTATTTCATTTGCTATGAGATCATATGACATCAAGACAAATAGCAGATTATATAGTCTTCCTAGAACACAGTAGCCTTAAGATAGAATTAATGATCAAAGAAAGCAGTTTTTTATGTAGGCAGTTTTTGTTACATTACAACAGCTGTCACAAAGATTTGTGCTAGTGTGGGAGAGGAGACAACATGAAGAAATAAAATTCTTAAGATTCAAAAACACTCCAACAGGGGAACAGTACCCCCGTTTCACCCACTACAAAATCATAAAAAACCCTTAGCACTGTAAACACATCCCTAAGCATGAAAATAATTGTATAAAAAGCAGTGGCAAAATGAAGCAGTAGCAGCAGAGACCTCAACAGAAACACAGGATCAATGTCTGTCTTATTTCCTGGTCACATATTCATACAAGATCACACCTTGCCACTGCTCCCACCTGCAAAAGAAGCACCATTCTCCCTAACATATCATGATAATAGCAACTGCAAACCAAAAGTAATTTATTTACCAAGCTACTTAATTAATTACAAGTTTTAGAAGAATGCATAACAGCTGGAGTTTACCATATTTCCAATGAGCTGGCAAAGCCATTCCCTGAAATACTCACCTTAGGAGGTTCACGGAACATCTGGTCCAGAGAAATAAATTCTAAGCTTGGCAGTAACTCAATGAACTGACTAAAAGAATCTAGCTTTATCGCATGGCATCGCACCAGGGTGAGGTCAACCAGTCGGGTCCACCTTGAATGATCTGCAGAAGAGAAGAGATGCATTTCCTGAAGGATCCCTGTATCACTTATTTTTCATTCTACTCTTTCCAGATTTGAGAGTAGGCACCTTCTGTATCTCCATTCTGACTGTTACCAACATCATCATGGTTCCAAACCAAGCATCATCTACTGTATTACTAAGAAATAGAACAAGCACTACTATGAGCAGAAAAGTTCTGTTTTAATATTGCAGCTATTCATATAATATCTCTAAAATTTCAAAGGTGTGCAATACCTGTGATCCAATTATTTGGGTTATGTAGATGTGGGCAGTTGTAAATAACCAGATACTTGATGCAAGAAAAAACTTCATTTACGGCTTTCATACCAATATCTGTAATAATTCCTGGATTTTCAACCACATCAGCCAAGCCGTACTTCACCAAGTCTCCATTCGTCATTTTACCTATGAAAAAGATAGCAGAAAACACAGCAGTAAACTTCAGAAACTTGCCTTTTATAGCATGAATTTCTAACTTCCCACTTTAGTCCAATTTGGCTAAATGGATCAGATTATTACTTCAGTGCAATAAAGCCGAGACTTTCACAATTTCAGTAAGAGTTTCAGGAAGTGGAGAAAAACATATTTGGCTGTATGAGATCAGCAGTCTCAATATGGATACATTAATATTCTTTTTTAATCACTCTTAGGAAATGACTGAAAACAACTTATTTAAACCTTGTATTTGTCAAATAATTTATGTACATAAAAAATATCATACACTGTAGTAAAAACTCATCAACATATCCTAGATGAAGAGTTTCAAACTGTGGAAATTCCAGTTCAGCCATCTTCAAAGCAGAAAAAACACCGTCTTTGGTCAAGGAAGGCTGGATCCGCACTTCATGCAACCTGAATGCAATTAAGAATTGCTCCTATTAAAAGGCATGCCAAAACACAATTGCCATAGAAACCACTCAAAAAAAATGCCCTTTGGTAATAAAATTAAAATATTATTTCAACAATGGCAGGATTAAGAGGGTATCTGTTGTATCTTTATGGCAATATTTGGCAGTTACATAGCAATCTAGTTGTGAGACTAACAGCACCATACTTTTCAGACATAGGTCTAAGAAGGTGGCTTGTGACACAAAGTGATACAGAAGCAGATGTTTAACCACAGAATACTCTTGTTATGTAAAGTTTAAATTCTTCACAGTTCTGGACTTGATTACTAAGATACATATTTTGAAAAAGCAGAAAGGTGAAAAGAAAGATCTAAAGGCCCAGACCTTCGTGCAGCAGTTATGATGAGGTAGCCAAGATCCACTTCAAGTGCATTCTTGCAAGCTCCCAGAACTATAGTGTGCAAATTCCTAAAACCACCTGACAAACAAAAAAACAACCACAAAACTTTCCTTCACTTCAGTCCCAGATCACTACTTTAAACCTTATACCTTTTCACCAGTGTTGTCTTGACAAGTGAATTAACAAAATACATCTTTTTTAGCAAATCAATAAAACACACATTTGCACCCAACTCCCCTCAATACTGCTAGTTCTACTCACCAACAAATGCGACTGGAAGGTTAGTTTATCAGTCAAGAGTTAACTGCAGTTAAAAGATCAAAACAATACTCCATATAGAGCTATATTTAGCACCATAACCATAGTTCCAAACTTGATACCTTTAAAGTAACAATCAAGAAAGAATATGCTACAGACAAAAAAGCTAAGCTACACATGCCTCCAGTATTTGCTAGTATTTTTATTTGTTTGTTTTAAGCATGAGGGATAAGAAGTTTCATACCTGATCTCCAGCTATCTTCTACCACATGCTGGATAAGGCCTCCAAGAAATGGAACACGAACCAGTTCTAAGTGCTCCAAATTTCGAGCAGAAGCCAGGCCCGTCACTAGGGGAACATACTTCAAAGAATTTGTGGGTCCTACATAGAACAAACCAATACAAAGAAGGTTGTTCACTTAACATCACTGAATGTATCACATTAAAGTCTTAAAAAACGTCCACATATATCCACCTAGATCAGGAAGTCAACAGAACTACATAGTTCAAAATAATGTACAGGAGAGGGATCCATTTCTATCCAACACCATGAATAAAACAATGACTGTTTTCAGAATCTTGTATTCTAAGATTTCCATTTACAGTTGGTGCCTATGCAGCTTTAACAGAATTAGATCTCCTACATGCTAAAACATCCCTCCATACATGAATTCCTCTTACCAGCACAGTTCCTCATGACAAAAGTGCGTAAGCTGATACAAAGGAAATCTTTAAAAGGCTGTGGTTTGGTGAGTCTCACCCACTTCAAATAAAGGTGCCTCAGCATTGGGATACAAGGAATCTCAGGGACATTCACCCCTAATAATACATAAACAAAATAAACATTTTAAACAAGCTTTAAACTATAAACTCCAGGATAAATTTCTTTGGATTAACATTCTGGCTTTAAAAAGGAAGTCTTGTCTTTGCTATGTGGCATGTGAGAAAAAACACAAGTTCTTCACCTCAGTTTGTCAACACAGTTTTTTAGAATTTGCCCTTTAGACCTGCTATTATGTAAATAGCAACTAATATTTCAAAAATGCCACATGCCAAATTCCCTCTCTTAAAAAGAACTACAATCTTGCAGAGTGTCAAAGCCTTTACATTCACCTCTGTTGAAGCCAACTACTCCACCATTACCACACTTACCTACTAAGTGCAAAGTCTGAATTTTAGCTCCTATAGGAATTTTCAGCTTGTTTTCAGGAGGAATTGGAAAAGCACCATTACGATTACGAAACTTCCCTAAAATGTGAACTTGTGGCATGTATGTCCAAATAGCTTCCACCAGCTCTAAATGAGAGGTCTCAACGCCCTGGGTAAAAGGAAGCAAAGAAAATGCTCTAACACCAGTTCAAGCAACAACATCCTCTTAACCATGTTAACTTCTCAGTAGCACACTATACATAAAGCAACATGTTATTTCACTTTAAATTTGTAGCAAGACTTGTCTTTTTAAAAGCAGAGGGATCAAGTTTTAATTCATTTCTGGACTTAAAAGCACCTGTGAACCCCACTGGTGCAACTAAAAATAGTACTCATTTGCAGATATGGTCACAATTAACTGCTACTCTATCCAGCCAGACTTGAAGATGAAGCCCTGTAAGCAATGAGTCCCTGCCATGTTTCTTCTGCTCTGTTAACATGCATCACCTCAGCTGCTGAAGGAGGTTCCCTCTCAAGTCTAACCACTCACCAACAGATTTGGACAGGCCTGCAAAGCCTCTAAAACTCCAGGAATGCTGAAAGCTTCATGGCCACGGACTCTGCGTCTTTCAAGATACCTGGGATGAAGACCATAAAGTTGTTCAATGTCTGGCATCTTCCTCAGCAGCGTTAGGAAACTGGAATCAGTGAAACCTAAGATAACAACAACAGATTTGGTATTTGGGTGACAGCAGACACTTAGCTGTAAAGGGAAAGCCAAATACATTGTTCTTTATATATGGTAGTATAAATTCTACAAGGTTAAAACATATACTTAGTGAAGCAATAGCTTGTCTTCTACCTCCAGATTCTAGAAATCATAACCTACATACTCCTCTGCCTTGAATTTTGCAGGCTTGCTACAGGTTTCCTTCAGTGAAGTTGCATGGCTACAGGTTTAACTATACTTTCTCCCTTCTCAGATGAAGCACCTCTGCAGATTGCCAGGCTTTGTGTCTCTGTCTTTCCTGGAATTCCATTTATCAACTACATGGCTCAAAAATGCCCAGCTACATCAGTTACCTGCAGATCATCACTATTCACCACAGCTCACAATTGTCAGAGACAACAGTTTCTTTAAGCAAAGGGTTATTTTATTCTAATATAAGACAACACATAAAAAGGAATTTAAACTAGTAAGTTACCTGTATTTACATCTATCTTAGGTTAGGTCTAACCATCTATCTGATATCAGCCCTAATAAATCTAACTTTGCAGATCCTCTAACTTTTAGAATTCACTCATTTTAGCTCTCTCCCCCAACAAATCCCAGCAGTGTAATTTAAATCCAACAGAAAGCCTAATACTCACAGGGTTGACCTAGGTTGCCAAATTTATCTATTGATCTGAAGATGGCTTGAGGTGTGACATCAAAACTTATTTATTCTTACATTGTTAAGTGTTGGCAGATGAGTTGCTCTCTCATTCCATTGTATTTTTTCCTGCCTGCATGCAAACAGCCTCTTCTTGGATTAACCCTTGGATTAACTCCCTTACAATAATCAGACAAACACAGATTGTATTTACAGATTGCTACAGAATCCCCGTTTCTGCTACAGTAATATCCAATATATATATACACACACACATAGACAGAGACAAATTTTCCAAACCACATACTCAAGGAAGCCACTCAAATCTCACAAAAGTCAAAAGGAATTAAACATTTAACTCCTTTTACTGCTTTTGAAAATTTACCCTGCATATGTCATTATAAATACCAGGATAGCACAGACAGTTTTGCTCAATACCACTTTAATGCCATATCTTGAGTGAGTGCATTACTCACCAGTGGGCATGTATTCCCACCAACGGCCTGCACATAGATCCACAACCTTCACTACTCGAAGATAAAGAGTGACTGCTTCCTTCAGCTTCCTGGACAGGCATTCCATGCACATGATATCCTGCAAGGGAAGGTACCTTTGGGAGAGGAAAAAACACCCCTCTGATTTATCAAAGGTGGATCCTTTTTGACTTTTTGCAAACTAAAGAATATCCCAAGCATGACTACACAAATTCATATATTTCTAACACCTCATAACGTTAATTCAAAGAGAATTTTCCGATTGTACTTTAATAAAGTGTGAAATTTTGCTAAGCAGAATTACTCACCAATTTTTGACACTGAATGTAGGATATTTAAGGCACAAACATAATATTAAAATGGAGAGATGCTTTAGTTCTCTAATAAAAACTGCTGGCAAAACCATTTGCCACAATAGTTTCTATGTGGTTTAATCAAAGGTACTTCCATTTTCTAGTACATACTAGCATGCTCAATTTGCAAAAATTTTGGAGAGCTACTGTTTTTAAAGAAATTGCCAGTAAGACATTATGTTTTGAATGTAACAGGCATGAGTGAACATCTTGAAGGAGGACTGTGCTGCAGGGAAGATTATATACTCATCCAAGTTCCCTTCTGCACACTACGAAGCAGATGCAACAATTTCAAAACATGCACCTCAACTATGCAATACCCGAGATACATTTCTGCACTGAAATCAATATTTAAACACTTGTTACCACACACTGGTGAACAGAATTAAATCAGTTCTTTATTTCTTCTTCATCCTACCATTCATGACATTCACATAAACTAATTTTCAAAGTATCCAAATGAATTCTGGACTGAAAAAACATTTGTCACTCCTTTTTATCCACTTTTTATTCACCCACGGTACATCTACGCTTTCTGAATAGTCTGTGACACAAGTATCAATGCAGTTAAAATTGGCAGAAAAAAACAGAAAACAATATAATAACAACAAATTGGCTTCTGACAAGCTGCTCACCTAAAGATGTGGCAAAGCACTTCATGAGAGAGTTGGTTCATGTAGTCTTTTGGCTCATCAGCTTTGGTAGACTCAGAGCCTTCCCTGTTCACCGAGCATGGTTTCACATTTTTCCGCCGGGGACCCATATTTGCAATGATTTCTGATTAAAGGAAATGTTCAAAATGTTATGCAAATTCAGTGCAACTGAAGGAAAAAAGGGACAGAGTAGACGACGACACACCAGTTAAGCTTCGTTTACAAAAAAACCCATCAAAATCTGACAATAAGGTCAAGTTCCAGTACAGCTGAATTAACTAAGAAATAGAAAAAATATTCCAACAAATTAGTTTGCCTCGTACATGAGGTCTCAGACATAACCTGATGATTATTAGTAAACCAGAAAGTCCCTCTGACCTAAGGGAAACTGACAAAGAGGAAAATCACCACAGGTTTAACAAGAGACCAATTCTTTTGCACAAATGAAATGTCTCCAGACATACCATCCACACACTAGTCGATCAAGACAAATCACAGGAAAGCTGTGTGGAGACTACCAAGGTTACCAAGCAAACGCCAACTAGCTATGTTCCCGTGAAACAGAAAGCCCAAAGCCTCTGCCTAGCAGAAAAATAATTTTCCTTTTAGAAAAAACAGGCTCCTACTGATCATTCCCCAAAAATGCCCTATTAAAGGTCCTCAAACTAGCTCTTTTTAGAGATTAGAATACCAAATAAAACATTCAGGTTGCTTAAAGATCACAGCCCCAGAAAAACTGAAAGACCTTGCCTCAGCAGCAACGTGCAGGATATCCTCTCCTCTTTCCCTTTACTGAATTAATGTGTTTGTGTCTATGTTGCCCCTGCAGCACACACACAGGCACAGAAGGACTGACATAGCAATAATGTACGTTTAATTTAAAAACATACAAATTGATTACAAGAAGTAACAAATAAGTAACTAAAATAAATATGAACTTAACCTTAACTTTAGAATAACTGAGTTAACACCTCATGCAGATGAACGGTATGAGAAATGTCTTCACTACTGCCATTTAGCTGAGGAATGCTTTCTGCTAAGTAGGGTAAAGCATCATTAACTCAGTAAACCTGTTTAACAGGTTGAATACCAAAATTCAGTGGATGAGGAGAAACAACTTTTCAGAAAGACAGATTTTTTTAAAACTTATCAAAGATGCATCTGTTACAGCATTCACTGTGATGTAAATATACCAGTGTTTGCTTCACGTTACGTGGAAGTGGCAACTGAGAAGAAAAACAAAGTACTTCATGGAAATGAAAAGGAAAAGTTTGCCCTCTCCAACACAAATAATTTGTACGCTGACACAAAATTTGAAATATCAGTATCTTCACTGTGATTAATTATTGAAAAACATGTGCGTTCACACATTTTCATATTCATTTAAAATTAACAACTGTATGTTGTCATAATTAATTTTATTTAAAATGGTGATATTAAAACAACTAAACTAGCACCTTCTGCCCCATGAATAGATGAAACACGTGTCTACTCCTTTGGATTGGCTGGGACTTCTCCAGCCAAAGACACTGTACACATACTATCCTTCTTTTTGGTGCACAACTGAACTGGAAGGGTTCTGTATATTGGTAAAACTGCATTGTAATGTCATTCAACTTCATGAAGCCCAAAATTAACTTCAAACTATGAGATTGGATTCTGATGAAAACAAGTATTACATGAATTCCCAGTGAATGTCACCTGATGACTCAATTTGAACAGAGGGAAGGATACAAGGTAAAAAATTCTAGATTGATGCAGACACGTGATGGAGTACAATACAGCAGTATTTAAAGGACAGCATTAAAAGGACTGTGAGGTTAGAAAGATGTTAACAGACCAAGCATATCAGGAAAAAGTCTGAAAGAATCCTGTAAAATTTAAAGGCAACGAGCACAACCTGCCCTCTGAGTTTGGGCTGTAGTTTAGTTTGGCTCCTACCATTAAGTAAAAAGAATGACCTAGTCTCTTATGAGGCAGCAGTTTCTAAAAAACACATTCTCCTCTTGATACTATTTTGGGCTAACGTGCAGCTTTAGCATCTCATTCTACATTAGGAAGCTGACCCCATTAAAAAAAAAAAAAAAACAACAAACCCTCTTCAGATATTTAATAAAGCTGATAAAACAGAATTTTGCTCTCCCCAACGCAATTAATTCACGCGAGTCTTGGTATGAAACAACAACTCTACGTGTTATCTTCTCGATTAGTGTCTACTGATCTGAACTTAAAAAGCTTAAAAAGCCACGGGGAGATCCGTGCCACCCCACGGAAACAACCGTTTTAGAGAAAAATGCGGAGAGAACAGTTAGGGGCGGTCTGGCAAGCGCTAATTCAAGAGGGGTGTTTCCTTATGGGGAGAAGGGAGAAAAAAAAAAAACAACAAGTTTATTTTTGCTTAGATAAGCGATATAAAAGCAGGTTTCCCCACAGCCCTCTTCC